CACCATCCTTTATCCACTTACATCTAGCCTTCTGAAACCATAGTGATTCTTCTTGTTCAAGGACCAGATTCAATTCTTGTTGAATGGCTACTTCCAACTCAGCATTAGTATCATCCAGATCACACAGACTGTTCAACTGGATTTCATTAAGTTTTTTCAGCAAGAAATCTTTCCTTATCTGAATGCAACCAAAAACCCTTCTATTCCAGGATTTCAACTGGTCCTCCAAATTAGATAGGCTGTGAATAATAGGCTTATCTAAACACCAAACATCCTGCAGAAAGTGAGGGAAAGAGGAATGATCCTGCCAAGCAGCTATGAACCGAAAAGGTCTACTATTCCTATTAACCACTGGAGGAAACAGAGATAACAAGAGAGGGCTATGATCAGAATTCAATCTACGAAGAGTTCTGACAAAAGCATCAGCAAAACTATTTCTCCACTCCACATTAGCACACACCCTATCCAGCCTTTTAAACACTCTGTTTAGATGCAGCCATTTAGGGCCTCTCCAAGTGAAACAAGACCCTCTGCAACCAATGTCCATGACCTTGCACTCATTCAGAACAGCAGAAAATTTCAAACACCTAGTCAGATTAAAGGGGGCACCACCTCTTTTTTCTCTTGTAGATGCAATCTCATTAAAATCCCCCATCATCATCCAGGGACCCACCACTGAGCTACCAATTCTAATCAGGTTCCTCCACAAGCCTTCTCTCACTTCCTCTTTAGGAGAGGCATACACAATAGTCAGCAAAAAAGAAAGCCCAGAACTAAGATAGCAATTCACATGAATGAACTGGTTAGTTTTCTCGATGAGAGAAATAGAGCAGAAGTCTTCCTTCCATAACAACCAAATTCCCCCAGAAAAACCAACAGTTTCCTCAATCACAGCATTCTTAAATCCAATCTGTTTTATTTTTTTCTGAGCTAAAACACCACTTATTCTTGGTTCCAAGATGGCAACCAAACCAACTTTATGTTTTCTAATAAAATTGCAGAGGGTTATTTTAAATTGCTTCTTAGCAGCCCCCCTACAGTTCCATACTAAACAAGTCATTGAGAAATCATGTTTGCACCAGGATTACTAAGTTCCTGGTTACTCTCCATCATCTGTTCAGAACTCAGAATCTGTATCTCTCTCCATTTCCATACCTACCATGATCTCAACACTAGATGTTTCCATCCTAATGACTGAACCCGAAGAGACATCCTCACCTATGTCTTTCCCAGCTACATCAGATGCAGACTGCTCCTGCCCAGAATTGCTAATGGACTTAGCAGAAGCTTCACACTTTTCTCCCACAACAGGGCCATGGATACTTTTTTCAACAGAAGAAAGGGCTTCCAGCTCTGCACCACAAGCAAACACTGGAGCACCACTGGGAGATTTACCTTTTTTAGCACTCAACTTCCCCTTAGGAATGGAGGGCACCACCTTTGATTTCTCCTTAGACCCCGAACCTGATGCTTCCGAATTAAAAACAAAATCAGCAGTAGCCTCCTTGGTCTTCCCTGTTTCATCATTGTTTTTATTACTCCCTTTCTTCTTACTGAGAGTAGAAACTGGCTTATACACACGGCCATTCAAGCAGGAATGCTGAGAGGAATTATTTTTTATCTCCTTGGGTTTTGGATTACCCCCTCCAAAAACAGGTTTCATGTTATACTCCCTCACCTGCTCACTGTCCTTTCCTTTCCCAGAAACTCTCCTTGTGGGAGAAGGTTTATTCATATTTGTGATATTATCTCCAAAGGTTCTAGGACCCACATTTCCTTTAGAAGCAGCAAATTGATTCTTTTGTTTCCTCCTCTGAACTACCATCCAGGGGCCAACTCCCTGATTCATCTCAGGCTTTTCTGGTTCCTCCTTCCTGATGTCTTGACCAATATTAACATCCACTGGCCTAACACACTCAGGACAGTTATCCACATTATGGCCATACCGACCACACTTCAGGCAAATCAGAAAAAGACCTTCATATTCAATCCTGAAAATATCATCCTCCAAGTAATACTCTCCTCTCAACGGTTTGGAGAGATCAAGATCAACACAGACTCTAGCAAACTTACCTCTTTCACCATTAGAGGTATTTTTGTCTACTTTTATAACTTTACCTATAATATTTCCTAAATGATTCAGGAAAGGATACTCACAGAATTCCTGTGGAATGCCAGGGAGACGTATCCACGCTGCTACTCTATGGATGTTGGCCTTTTGAGGGTTGAATCCTGGCTCCCACTTCCTTATAGCAAGGTAATGCCCCATCAGCACCCATGGACCACCCGTAAGAGCAATACTGAGATCTTCCAGATTGGCAAATTTGACTGAGAAAAAGTCATTCCCCAGATCAGCAACCACAATCGATCCTGACTTAGCCCACAAACTTTCGAGTTTGTTCTTCATATACATGACCCCAACTTTCTTACCTAGGAGCTTCACGATAAGGGCATTTTTCCATGGGCTTCTCATCCTCTGTTTAGCCTCATCGGAACACCGGATTCTAACAGAACCATCCGCTTCCAAAATTGTTTGAAACCCCCAGTCAGAAATTTCCCCTTTCAGGGGATCAAGAGATTCACCCAAATCTTCCATAAAATCTTCCATCCCTCAAGCCTCCTCCCCCGCAGGACATTCGTCTTTCCTGAGAGCATCAGCAAAGGATCGATGAGTTCCAGCTACGGGGTTGTTTGAGAGAAACCTCAAACCAGCACCTCTGTTCGTAGCATCAGGTGAGAACTCCTCACCAGTCTTGGATCGTTTCACACTTTTTCGCAAATTAACAGGAGAAATAGAAGAGAGAGATTGTCCACCAGCAGCAATCGGTGGAGGACCACCGTGAGAAATTAACGATGACATCATTTTGAACCCTAACAGAGAGAAAAAATCGCACGCGTGAGATTCACGCACCTAACCCATTCGAGACCCCTGAAAGTAGGATTTCTGATTCTGAATAATCTATTTTATTTTATTTATTTAATGAAATCAACTTCAATCTCCACCACCGTATATTTGCCATATATATGGTGCCATATGGTCCACCAGACATCCCTAATGGACTGAGTTAATTCAACCATTACAAATAAACTCTGAGACCATTCTGAATCCCGAACATTAAGACATGGGAGTTCAAAATTTCTTCCACTTTTTAGGACTTCCATCTATGAGGTCTGCACCTTGTTTATTTTCAATCAAATTAAATTAATTCAATCACTCTTGAATATTTCAATAATCTCCCATTTAAATGAGAAACTCACATTAATATGTATCCCTCAATGAAATCTCTAGTCAAACACTTGACTCGCACACGCCAAACTCGTCTATGATATCATTACTACACTGCAAGAAAAACCCAATTTAAAAAAAAAAAAACCTATCATCCACACATCTAAGCAACAATAAATCATAAATGAATCTAACACCATATCTATTTTAAAGCCACATCAATATGCTCCATTCACTATAAACCTAAATACCATTCTTATGCAACCAAAGGAGTTCAAATTAAGGGATCCATTCATCCACACAACAATGAGTTTAAACAACAATCCACCATTAATTAATCTAACACATCACATCCTAAAACCTTAAAATCACATTAATACACTGTATCCCCTCGATGAAACCTTCAGCCAAACTCTTGATTAGCTCGGGGCAAACCCGAAGCCCAAAATTAGAAACACTACCATCCACTACATCAGTAAACCTAAATAATTATCCATCATGAGCGAGCCCATCAAATACTCAATTCAGCAAATCATCCAGCATATGCCAATCAACTATATCTTTTATACCACTAAGAAACACCCCTATAATGGACCGAGTTAATCTTTCCTAAGACATTAAATTCGTAGACTCTTTTATTTATTTGATCTTCACTTGACCCATTATGAAAGATTTCATGAATCCTCTTACTTATTGGATGCTCACTTGAGCTATTACCGATCAAAAGGAAAGTCCATCACTTTCGAGTGTGAGACATATATAGCATTCACGTGTAGTTGACGTTGACAATAGTACTCATATGGACGCCTCTCGTAATTTGCAGGAACTAGATCTTAGATAGTTGAATCTCAACTCCCCCAGGTCTTTTAAGGACAAACACACGCCTTAATAACATTAACATAAAGAGTTGAAGCTAGGTGTAGGCTCAGCTCCTTATTCCTTTTTATCGGAAACATAAACATGAAAAGGTTCCCATATGTCGAAGAGTTGAAGACAAACAAGCTCTACTTTCCAAATGGCCATCTTCAGAGATTATATACAACCAATTTTGCACCATTTTAGTACAACTTCGAAACAGCAAAACACCCTTTTGGCAGACCACTTACTCTGAATGCTTCAAAAGGGCAAAAATCTTTTGACCCAACAAGCACAATCCTTAAAAAGAACATAAAGCATCGAAGTACTTAGCAGCCGGCCCCCTCAGACACGGAGACCTTTGACTTAGGGGCATATGCCATGCCTTCAGGCGCTGACTAAGATTCCACAACGCTAGAAATCACAAATTTGCACCAAATATTTGAAATTCTACTGCGAGAAACAACGACATAGCCAGAAATAGAAACAAAAATGACACAACACAATGTAAAGTTATTCCCTGAGCTTTAAACCAGGCTAAGCAGATTTCATAGGGTACAAGCTAAAAGGTTTTACACACACACATATATCATATAGAGAATAGTCTGATCCATCACCTAGCACTAAAAAGGCTCGATCTTATCCACGAGAAGGGTGGACCCCACCACATAACCTCGGTGATCCAGTGGATCTTAGGATCAGGTGGCCAAGCTCCACCCAACTATTCGTGGCATGGTACACAACATAAAACGTGACAGAGTTCATAACAGCAACATATGAAATGGTAGTAAAACCTTGTAACTAACAGCAACCAGAACAGAAGAACATAAACCGAGCTACAGATGATAACACAAGAAAAATAGAAAAAGTCATCAACCAGGGACGGAAGCTATGTCATGACACAACCCCTTAAAGTTGCTTATCTGATATAGGAGCCTCTTCTTCCACTTGAAACTTCTTGAGGCTTGACAAGCTTCCCTATCGTCCTTTCATTTCCCTTGATTACACCATCCCGAGGTGGTGTAAAGCACACAGGCAACACTTGCTCGGAATCACAGGGAAAGTGCATAGTTTCGAAGTGCTTCTCTAATTCCTCTTTTCCCTACATTATCACATTTCAATTGAGTCCAATAAATTAATCCCAAACAAAAAAGCAAATAACAAAGTACCCGTTTCATTAAAAAATAATAATAAAAATAAAAATAAAAATAAAAAAATTATGGTTTATTAGCAATGATGATGATTTTGAGTCTAGTCCATTCGACCATACCTGGAGACGTGCAGCAACAACTTCACGTATCTTGTGTGACTGGAACATGTCCCATTTCATATTAGAGGCTGTTAAAAGAAACTTCCAAGCTGCCTTGGGGTTTGTGAAGTTAACAAACGCGTAGCCCTTGTTCAACCCGGTTCTGCAAAAAAATTATCATGATCAAAAGTTCACACTATAAAAAAGAGCTAGCTGAACATCATAAGATATTTGTACTTGTAGCGTACTTGAAATCTATAGGCAAGTAAACGAAATCAAAAGCTAAAATATTGTGTTGTTCGCCATCCTCTTTTTCAGCTTCTTTATCTCTTTGATTCTCCAACATACAGTGATTGTCCAAGAACTCTACCAGCATATCTCGTCTGCGAGAATCAGGAAAAATAAAAATAAAAATAAATACTAATGTTATGCTACTAACCATTAATAAATGTAAATGCAACTAAATGATGGCTAAAATTGAATATTGAACAACAATATGCGCTAATCTCAAGAATTTTAAGTAGCTAAACCGTCTTATGCTTGGAGAAAGAAACTTCAAAGCTTTAAAGATTAACCCCTTTTTTTAAGAAAGAAAAAAAAAACAAAAAGTCACTGAACCAAAAAACTAAGAATATGAAGGGTCATTGGATGTAAAGAGACATACGTGTACTTGCTAGGAATGTTTCGAATCATAACAGTGGTTTCCTCTCCATCAACGCGCACGGGCAACAAAGGACAACATGGTTTCTTCCTACGTAAAGACCTAAAGTACTGATCTTGAGGATGAAACAACCGTTGGTTCTTTAAATGGCCACATTTGTTGTCTTCAACGATGTCTTTTCCCTTCCTCCTCCATGTGTAAGCCTGTAATCTCAACTCATCTGAACGGCAACGATCAATTCTTCTTCCACAACTTATAAACGCTTTAAAAACCTTCTTTTGAACAAGTCCTTTCGAATCAGCTACTTTAGACCCAGTCACCACTTCCTCCTTAGGTTGTTGTTGCACTACATGGTCTTTCAGAGGGTTAGGATCTTCAGACATGTCAATAAAACGAGTTGGTTCAGCTTCAGAGGATAACGATGGCGAGAAAGGAGCGCCAAATAGCTGGCTAGGGATAACGGAAGTTGGTGGAAGTGTTGTAGCGGGGTAATAGACACAGAGGGGTTGGAGTGGGTCATGAAGTTCTTGTGAAAGAGAAGAAGAGAAGAAGAAGTAGTACTGTTGAGAAGAGAGTAAAGTGGGAAAACTAGGCCAAGAAATCGATGGCACCTGCAAGTTCGGAAAGAACTCGGGAGCTTCTGGATTTAAACTCTCTCGAGGGACCATGGTTTCAACAGGAGACTTCAACTTCAATTCCCTACCTCAAATTTGAAGTTTGAGGACGCTGATCAGTGATAAGTGCTGATTATATGAAAACTTCAATTTCAACTTCTGAGGAAGGAAAATTTAAAAAGAGAGAGAGAGACATAGAACGTGCAAAGAATGGGAATAGGGATTATTATGGTAGGGAGACTGTTGGTTGCCCCTAAAAATGAAAGAATGGGAAAGGAAAAGGAATACATATGAGTAATGATTATACGAATATATGCTAGCATTTAATGCATGGATTTGGGAAATATCTTTAGTATTATGGTAGTATTGAAAATTCGGTACATCAATATATTTTTTTACTATTTTATCTTTCCTTGTAGGATTATTTTCTCCTAAACTATTACCCTTTATTACTTTTAGTAAAGGAGTACGTACTCCAGCAATACCAAAATATGCTCATGGATTTGATGTAAGTCAGTTTCGGTGTACATTGAAAGAATTAAAAAGTTATATTCATGTATCTCTTGCATTTTACTATGTGATACAATTATGGTGTATGCATAATTACACATAGAAAAGTAAAATATACTTAATCATAATAAAATTATATAAATTATGTAAATATAAAATAATATGTACATAAATATAAATTTTGGGGTTCCACTATCTTTTCTATAATAGAGTTATATTTTTATTAATTAATTTATCATTTGTTTATTTACAATTGGTTCTAAATTATTTATTGTTTGTATGAAAAACATTAAAACAATATTTACTGTGCCTTCATTCACGAGATCTAAATTTTTTTAGAAAGGATAACTCATAAAAAGTTCGTATAAAAATTACATAGAATAATCGAATTTTTTTATTAATTAACTATTAAATTAAATTATCATTTTTTTATTTTGAATTGGCTCAAAATTAAATTTTGTTTATCTGAAAAAAAAATACTTATCTCTTCTTTCACTCACTAGATATAAATCTTTTTAGAAAGAATAAATACTCATAAAATATTCACATAAAATATTTCAAAACTATCATTCTAAAGTAGTGTTATATTTTTTATTAATTAATTATTAAATCAAATTATCATTTATTTATTTACAATTGGTTCTATATTAAATTTATTGTTTGTATAAAAAATAAAATACACTTCTTTGTGCTTGAGGTAAATACTCATAGAAAATTATATAAAATATTTGAATGGATTAAATTATTTATTATTTAAAATAGTTAAGAAAATTTAAAATCTATAATTACGAAAGCATCGATATATATATATATATAAATATATGGTACAGGATATTCTTACACTAGTGTAAGAGTTAGAAGTCTTACACTCAATCTTGACCATTGATTCACTTGTATAAAATGGCTCACATTACTAAAAAATTTGAGCCCTTAGATATAAATAAGATCAGTGGACAAGATTAAGAGTGTAACTTACACTAGTGTAAAATGATCTTAACCCTAAATATATACATATATATAATGGATTAGATTTATCTTATTCAACATGAAATAAATTAAATTCTTACATATACATAATAAAAGTGACTTCCATTTCTATTTTTTTTCAATTATTTGTGAATTTTTTTATAATTTATTTTACTTACATAAGATAATTCATCTCCAACAAAAAAAAATATTTTTCTTAAATAATTTAGTCTATTGATTCATTGAATAAATGGAAATAGTTTTTTTTTTAAAAAAATTATTATTATTTGTTTGGCCTTACACGGCTCATTCTGAAGATCCGGCGAGGAGTGTAACAGAGATGAGAAAAACATGATTATATGGGACCCATGTGATTGTGAGTATCAGGAGAAGATTCAGAGCAATTAAGTTATCATATCATATTATCATATCAAGTTCAAAGACTCTAAAGTACCAAACAGTGAACTTCGAACGAGCGCCCCTGGGGATGCGCGGCAGAAAGCCAGAAAGTGTTATCGGTGTAACTCGTAGCACTTTCCAGATCAAACGAAACACAACTGAAATGCCTGCTAATAAAGCTGACTCTACTCTACTTTGACATTTTCTACTTTTTTTTAAATAGATTTTAATTATATTATATTTTTATAGATAAAGAAAGTATATAAAATGATTTCCAAGAATGAATATAAAAAGTATTTAAAAAAATATTTTATTCTATAAAACATATATTTTGTCATAAATATTTAAATAAAATTTGTATTGAAATCTATTAAATATGCTTAAAAACTTTAGTGTTTATGATATATACATCAATTTATATTAATATTTAAAAATGTTATAAAAACCTAAAAAGTGTGTAAAATTAAAAAAGGAAAATGGAATTCAAAATTTAAAAATTTATTTGATTATGTATTAATTAAAATTTTGTATGTTTAAGATATAAATAAAAAAATTCATTTGTATTACTTATTAAATTTAATGTAAAAAGAATTTTTTTTTATAAATTTCAACTAATATCCAAAATCCATCAAATTCCACTAATCTCATTTTGAGTTCAAAATTTTTATTCTCCTTAAAAATTATAACTCTCAAATTCTCTCTCTCTCTACGTAATGTTTATCTTTTTAAAAAATATAACGTGTGTCATTTTAGATAGAATGACATCATTTTGATACATGATTGGTAATTTTTTATATTCTCTCTTCTTCACTTTCTCTCTCTTCCTAATTTTATCGAAGAGATAGAATATAAAAAATTATCAATTATGCACCAAAATGACATTGTTTCCTCTAAATGACACAAAGATATATTCTTTAGAATGATAAATATTTTTCTCTACATATATAAATGAGGATAATTATACTTACTACTGAAAAAATTTACTACTCTTACTACCAATGTTATTAGAACCGAATCGGTCATTGACCCGGCCGAGGTACCGGGTCACTGGTTGAACTGCATGAACCGGATATATATATATATATATATATATATATATATAAATTTATATTTTATACTTAAATAAATATTTTGAATGGTGTCATCTAAACAATAACCTGATGTAGTTTAGTGGTATTTGCTATGTTGTATATCCTGAATGGTACGAGTTTGAATCCTATTGGATGCAATTTTTGAATTAATTCTCTTAACTTAATAGTTATATAATAAATATATTAAATGGAGTATTTTATTCAACCGATTGAATCGGGGCTCATCACCGGGCCACTGGATCAAATACTTAGGCGGTCCAATGTCAGAACCGGACCGGCTGATGGGCCGGTTACCGGGCCAACCGGTCGGACCGGCCGGTCCGGTTTTAATAACACTGCTTACTACTAAATTAATCATTGTTGCATTCCACAAACAAAGAAAAATAAAACTAAACATATTAAAAATTCAAACTCTGATTTTTTTTATTCTACTTCTTTTTTTTCTTTTTCTTTTTATCTTAACTTTTTCTTCTATTTTTTTGTCTTTTAAGTATTTTTTTTATTTGAACTAATTTCATTTTTTTAATTTTAATTTTTTTTCTGTGTCACTGTTGCGATTTTTAATGTGATACAAATTTTTTTCTTTTAATTTTTTTGACAAACCATATTTATCCTATAAGGGAGGCAAGCATGTTTGGGACGAATTCACAATTGAAGTTTTAAATTCCTTCCAAAGACAATATTGAGAGGATCGAACACATGCTCTCACCGTCACCTGCTCACTCTCGTCACCAACTGAATTATAACATTTGGTTTCTTCTATTTATTTTTTTCTTATTCTATTTTTTTTTTATTTTGACACATTTGATTTTTTTTATTTTAATCTTTTATTAAGTGTTCTAAATTTTCATAATGATTTTATTTTTAAATTTTCTAACAATATTAATGAAAAATGTAGATGGAAAAAACTTTTAGAAGTTAAATGATTAAAAAAAACATATAGAGATATAAATAATTCAAAATAATACCACATGAAATTTTTTAACTTTTCCAATAAAATAAGAATCGTAATGGGAAATCAATCAAAGGAAAAGCACTAATTTCGGAGAAGACACCGCTTGATTTGATTGACGTATGATATGATCATATCCTTCAGCGGCTTATCTGACGAGCTTCTCCAAGCAGCGTACAAGGACAAGCTGCTGCATGACACGTGACAAAGCGGCGTGAAGTGGAGTGGCTGGCTGGTCTGGTGCCGGCGGCGTGAATAATTCACCAGCGCGGCAACGGATACATTAATCCCCTAAAATTAAGTAACAACTAAGAAAAAATAAAACACTTTCATGTCAGGAAAGGAAATACATTTCGCATTTATCGTTGGAAAGAGTGTTTATCTTTTTAAATGACATGACTAATATTTCTTTACTCTCACAAAGAAGTGAGACATGCACTTTTATTTTTTTTGTCAACTTTCTTTTCTTCTTTATCTATCTTTTTCTCTCTCTTAGAATAACACAACTTTATATTCTTTAAATGACACACATTTTACCCTATTATGTTACATAAAATAATTTTATCCTATGTATATAGAAAAAAGTAAACGAGACTTTTTTTTACTTTCTTTCTCCTTTTCTTAATAGATTCCATTTTAATTTTTTTATTTATGCATAAGATTAAATTAATATATTATCCTTCTTATAAACATCTATATCAAAAAGGCAGAATAACTTTCTAGCTAACTAAGTATTGGATTGCAATCCAAAAATAGAAGGACCTACAGAGTGACAGTAGCTAAAATGACGAAGACAATGCTAAAAGTAAAACAGCTATATTTTTTCCAAGAGCATTCTAAAGCTTTATCGTCGCGGAAATACGTTCTATCATCACCATTCAAACATAATACATAAAATCCAAAACTTTCCAAATATCCATAGCCGTAGGTATAAAAATATGTTGAAAAGTTTTGGATTAAAATTGGAAATAAATATTTATTAAAAAAAATTGAACAAAAAATTTAAATTGCAAAAAATGAAAGGTAAACATTTTAAACATGTTTATATAATGATTTGAAATTCAAATTTTATATATGCACATTAAAACCAAAAACCATTAAAGTAAACATATAATTAGATTTGATAATTGTAACCTATTAATATGAAAAAATTAATTAATTATAATTTTGTATAAAAGAAACTGATATTTAAATAATAAAAAAGTCTTTGTGATTAAATGACACGAGACCCGGAAGAAAAAAATTATATTTTACATAATACTAAATGGGGAGAATTCGTTTGACTCCAAAGTATCACTCTTAAATTTTATTCTTTATTTCAATTGTTGGTGGACGAAAATCAACGATTATCATTTGTAATGTAATTAATAATTAATTAATTAATATAACTTTTTAATTTATAACGATTGGATGAACGAAAATCAATATGAGAAATAAGATTTAAACATTAGAGTCAAATAATCTATCTCCCTATTAAATATTAGATCAGATGAGCTATCCTTAAACACTGCCAAGCAAGGGACTTCGCTCTTTTAACCATTCCACTACATTACTAATCACTGCACTCCACCTCCATCTATCCAATCATAATCCAAGTGTTTACGGCTTTATGCAACAAATCAATCTAACATAATCCGGCTGGTCCATCGCAAACGAAACAAAAACTGGTTTGCGTTAGGTTCATTTTGTCTTTCAAATATAGACCAACACTTCAAAGGCATGTTAAGTGGCATGTTCATATGATTTGGATTCGAAATTCGGGAATGTAACACCATTTGAAACATTCTTCCACCCTCTTTATGAATGACAAATTACTCTTCAAACTCACCATCGCAAAGATGAGATAGTGTCTGTCACCTTAACCAAACAGATGGTGGTGATTTTGTTGATCACCCTTTACTGCCAACAATGCAGCTCCGTAGGCAGCCTCTGTTTGATTTGCACGACTAACAGGCAAACCAAGGACCCTCTCTCGTATCTTTGTCCACTTATCATTTTTGGCTCCTCCACCTGCTGTGAAAACTTCGTCTACCTGGGTAGCTCCTAGCTCCTTTAGCAACCCATATGCCTTTGCCTAAAATACCATTCAAGAGTACTTCACAATCACATTAGGTTATAGTAAATGAGTGCATTCCTACTTGTTTCTCAGCCCAAGTGTAAAAGCAAAACTATGAATCAAAGTGTAAGATGAGAGTCAACAAGACTTCTACCTCTATACGCGCAATGGATTCTAAAATCCCATGCAAGAACTCAACATCATTTTCTGGACGTGGAAGTAGCCTGCCAAAAAATTAAGCTCCATCAGTTATGCAAAATGATAAGTCTTTGTCAGTGGTGGCGTGTGCACCATGGGTTTTCCTTGGTTACGGTGGCATAGCCAGCAGAACCAAATTTGGCTTGGTCATAAAACCCAAAAATGAACCAACCATTAAAGAAATCATTAAAGCTGATTCTTTATATTGAACTTGAGACGTCCTTTTTTTGTTACAAAAATTAGCTCAGTCCTCCACAAAAAAGACAAAATGAACAGACAGAATGCCAAATAAATCAAGTGTTCATGTGAAATTAAATACATTTTAACAAACTAAATCCTTTCAGAAGAATGAACTTGCATATAATGGAAAATGTGATTACAAAGCATCACATATTTCAACAATGATGTTTTGAAGACAACCTCAATGCTGGCTATTGGTCCTTCACATGATACTTTGTGAACATAACAAAATGGCAGAGAGAAAATAGTCTTTAAAAAACAAAATGAATTCCCAGGTCTTAAAGCCTACAAATGACTGGATTTCAATTATTTGAAAGAAAAAAAAAAGAATAAAATGACATAAAACAGATTCCAAACAAGCTATGGTGAAATGGGATCCGAATTCACAAAATTGAGTGTTCCAGCGGAAAGCAAAAAGATTTAGTACCTTGGAGCCAAATTTGGATCCGCTACTGGGAATCTTTCACCAGCTCTTGGCAGAGGATAGTAGTCCAGAAGAGAAGTTTGTGAGGGATTGATTTGTTCACTCAGTTTCTCTAATTGATCATCTGAGAACAGCTGTCTAAGAACAGCTCCACCACTGTTTGAAGCACCACCAACAAGCCACTTATCATCAAGGCGATGACTATACACCCCAAACTGAGAATCGTCAATTCTTGTGTTGCTTAATAGTTTAATAGCAAGCGTTGAACCCAATGAAGTGACCTAATCAAGAAGGGCATTATGAGAAATGCACAAGTAAAAAAAGATAATCAGGCTTTAGTTGCGTAGATAAGTAACAGGATCTTGGTATCTCGAAACAGATGGTTCGTTAGAAAGAACTCTATGCAAACTCATAATAGAGTAAATAATGGCACAACAAAGTTTCCATTATTGAAGCTAAACATTCCTTTTGGATGCTAAACCGAATACAAAATTTGGAAAAATAGAAAACCTCTAATTTAATCAACGATTCATAAATTTCAGTTTACTTTGTAAAAATCTAAAGTTGTATCTCATGAGATATGATACATTGTAAATACTTAATAATTAAAGAAAGTTGAGTTTAGTAAAAAATTACAGCTTTCCCAGGTTGAGTAGCACGAGCCGCAAGAAATGCAGCTATACTGTCAGTGGTTCCAGTGCATACAACACAATCCTTTTGAAAACCTGAAAGGATATGCACTATACATATGATTTTCAAGGTCATAGCAGCAAAGATTTCCACCAGGAAGTTAAAGAAATTCTGATGCCATTACAACACAACAATAAATAAGATACAAAAAAAAAAAAATTGCGTTACTTGGGCACCAAATTTATTGGTGGCCAAGTTGGAAAAAGCATTGTGTCTCAACTCTCAAGATGGAGATCATCCAAAGGGAAGAGAATACTGACATAAGGTTGCACAAATCAAATTGGAAGGAGTAAAACAATATTAATAAACGGTGACACTACAAACTAGGGATTAAAACTTAACCATTTAAGTTTGATTTGATTCTTTGGAAGGCTCTCTTAAATTGAATATAACCCCTAAGGCCAAAGGGTTCCTAGGTAGGATTTTCATTACAATTGTAATTGATATAAAAAAAAAAGCATACCAAATTTATTTCTAATTTCCTCCTTTAAACAAGCAATTGGAGTTCCCGGAGCAACAACTGAAGGTAAAAGATGAGAATATGGTTGACAGACTAGCCATGATGGATATGATTCCAGTTCAGGATCATAGCCAACCTGCAAAACATGAAACAACGGTTAAATTTTTCAACTTGAAAATGGAAACACAGACAAAAACGTTCTCAACATCAACAACACCTTTATCCCAAATTAATTGGGGTCGGTGGAGACAAAAATGTCCTAGATGTAAAAAAACAGAAGATGCTAGCGCTTTATTAAATGAATGATACCTTCAGAGCATTATTATAATCTGAAATTCCAAGCTTTCCATGAAGAAGCCACAAAAGCCAATCGGCTTGGTGCAACAACAGAGCAGATTTTTTGTTTGAACCAACATAATTCCACCATGAGACGAGCTTACAGAGAGTTGAAGAACCTGAGCAAACAGTATGGTTTGGAGGAGCAATAGATTTTACCATTGGTAGTGCATCAGGACAACTCTCATTGTAAAGAAAAGGTCTCCACAACGGTTCTCCTGTGTCACTGCAACACCAGATTCATATTCCTACTTAAAAATTCAGAAGTAGTGTTAAGTTAATCATAATTTAACACAAAAAGAATATTGTAAAATTGCTAATCATTCACCTATCAACAATGATTGTAGTTGCAGAAGTCCCATCAATAGAAATGGACACAATGTGTTTGCGAAGGTCACGAGGAACATCTTCAAGCAGCGAAAAAAGTGTCTCCTTCCATGAGCGCACCCAGTCACGTGACTCTCCACTCTTTCTAGACAATAGAAACAGGAATATCAGTATACCTTGGCAGTAGCATTAATAGCATTTAATTATAAAATTACTATTTGCATGCATCTTGTTATTTCAGTGGAACTCGTAGCACATAAGACGAATGTTGTGGTGTGAAATTAAGAACACTGAGCAACAATAATTTCTTAAAAAAAGGCAAAAGGAAATTAAAATGATACCGAGTACAGAGGATACTCTCTCTTGGCCTCAGCTTGGATAGTCCCAACCTTGTCAATAATGGCAAACCTGGCACCAGATGTGCCAAAGTCCAACCCGAGATAGAGCCTTTCAGCTGCTCCAACACCCTTCTTATTATTTCCGTTTCCGAGAGACATTGATATTGCCCTTGGTTTACTTACCTTATTACATAACCCATTTCCTGATAATAGGTTCAAAATATCATTAGAATATGAGGCAAAAGGGGAAAAAAAATAAAAATAAAGAATAGCAGTTGTTAATGATGAAAGGTTGGTTAGATACCACATTTTTGGTTTGATGTCCAAGAGAATAAAACGGTGCTTGCTGGGTGGGTCACTGAAACACCGCCTAACATATTGCAATCTTATGAGCTCTTAGCTTTTTCTGCCCATTCCCCACGGATAAGGTACTTGAGGAGGAACAATGGTGGCAAAGTCACTTCACGGAAAGTTAAAAATCATGAGAGGAAATTATGCGGGCTGGCTTGAGAAATTATCCGCTCCCACAAAGGCCCATTTTCTCTCTATAGGATCATTATGTTGGGGTAGTGCCGGTTGTTACATGAATCAGCCCATTGGGCAATTTTTCATGTAAGACCATGGGCCATGGCCGATATCTATTTCTATATCTATTTCTTTTTAAGATATCAAATCAAAATACTTGACGACTAGAAGAAAAAATTGTGCAGGAAAAAAATAAATAGCCCATGGTGTGTTTTTCACGAATCCTATATGTTCTTGGTCCACTTAATATTCCAATTTTTAAGAGCATAGAGAGAAATATTAAAAGAAACATATTCTCAGAAAGAACAGGAGATTATCATGAATGGGCTAAGTTATACACGACAAGTGGATCTAATATCATATTTCAATTTCAATTCAAAACCTTAAGATATTGGGTTAACGAGTCTTCTCACTTACATGAACTTCATTTAACTCATTAATAACTAATAGTAAATTTTATCATATTGGACAACTTTGATACTATTATCAGTCGGGATAGACAGAGTCCATAAGGAGGGGCTATAACCAAATTGATTTGTAGCTCATTATTAATTAATGCGTGATTATAATATTCCAATTGATGTTGGAATGCTAGCATATTTTGTACCTATACAGTTATATTTAGCATATTTAGAAAAAGCAGAAAACAATTAATGCTAACAAGTGTATAGTTTTTTTAATTAGGGATGGGTTTTCCAGGTGAAATATATTGAAAAGGCCATCAAGGAAATATAAGTTAGACTCCCACGAGCTATGAATCGAGCAATAAATTATACCTAGGTAAGGGGGATGTTGCGTGATGAAACCCTTATTGCCATTCAAACGTGAAAGATGAAAATTGGGATTGGAATTTGGATCCCGCAGTAACATAACTACTCAAGGTGTCCCTAGTTGCACGTGAGTCACTGGTTATTAGTGTGGTTCGAAGTGGAGGTGACAGCTTGTAGCTTGCTTCTAATCTCAATCACAAGCATCACCAAAAAGAGGACCACTAGAAAATAAAAAGGTTGCCTCGTGCATGTGCCATAAAGCTAACAACATCCACGCAAGGGAGTCTACGAAAGTGAAATGAAATCATTTGTTTTTATTCTTCGCCTGTACTCTTTCATACGCAATATATATTGTTGGAACTGAAACAGTCACACACACCATCGTAAATCATAAAAGATAGGAAGGGAAGAAAAGTGAAGACATATATTTATCCTGATTCACTTAATGTGAAATATATTCAGTAATATACATTATATTATTCTCACCGCAAACATTATAGCACTCAAGGAAAATGTAAATAGAATTAGAAATCATAAATAACAATAGCTATTTATATGCCAAAACCTAATTTATCAGAAAAATAAAATAAGCCAGAGAACCTTTCTTTGTGCCTGCAAATAAGAATCGTACCCAACATATATGAGAATGATGAAAAAGAATAATCATTCGACCACGGAATTGGCAACAATGCCTAATGTTTTTGGCGTTTATCTTTCGCTTCTATACTAAATTATTTTTGTTACCGGTGCAGGCACGGTTGTTGGTTAGTTGAAACAAACCCATCTTTTTTACTTGTTTTCCTTTGAGATGACCCCACGATTACACCTTACCTTTTTATATCTTCTCATTTTTAAGTTTACTAATCACCGTCTGGATGATGATTGATGGTCTTTTTTTTGGTAAATTGATTGATGGTCTTTTAAATTGGAAGCAAAAATAAATCATCTTTCCACATTTTCTTTTCCCATTCATCCGCTCCTCCTCTCCCTTCTTATGAACGAACTTGATTGCCATCATAGAAATTGAATGACAATTTAAATACCATATATCTTTAATATCTTAGTGATACGTAACATTTCTCCATTCCGACTAAGTCAGTGTATCTGATCCGAACACAATTTAACGTGTTTGTCAAAAAAGAAAGGAAACGGATGAGTAAAAGTATTGAACATTGTTGACTATTGACGAGTTTATCAGATATTGGATCACAACTCGTTGGAGAATGTACCAATTGTTATTTTAAAAATTGAATTGAATTAGTGGAGACCATGAATCAGTTCTTCGGTTCAGTCATATTTTAATTATAAAGTTAACCTGTTAAACTAATCGAACTGTAACATGAATATCTTATTAATTATACCCCTTGTTGAAATTTTAGTACATTGTAGCTAAAAAGGGTGGTTGCACTTATTTATTGTTATAAAATGGTGTACAATTAACAAGGAATATTTGTTTCCAAATAGAATGAGTAATGGCTTTTATAGCTGTAAAACAAACATGACGGATATGTTATGTTTTCATCTAGAGCTATTGCCCCGAAAGTGCCGAGGTGTCCCAGTGGAAGATTATCATAAAAAATGGTAAAAAAATAATAATAAAAAAATCATGTTAATTGAATTTAAAAAAATAAAAATGGAACCACGTGGGTGAGCGTGATGGTTTAGCATCTCGTCCCTTAAGTAAGTGGTTGGGGGTTCGAACCCCAACTTTTGCGAACGGAAAGTATTCCGTGGTCAGCTATTTACCGCTTTGTGCGCTGATCCGAGATGAGGGATTAGTCTCATGGTTATCAGCTGTACCGGATATAATCCAAAAAAAATAAAAATGGTACCTAGTATGACGCTAAGTTTCACCCTTTCACAGTCGTTTATCCCCTATTATTCTTTTTCTCTATTGTTTTACAACACCAATTAGTTATTTTGATCACGACCACGTGTCTGAAGGAATTTGTTTCCCCCACCCCCACCCTTATTGTTTTAAAAAAGGGGTGTTTCTAAGGAAAGCATATGAAAACATCCCAGGGCAGTTGTTGGTGAACACAGAACCTAAAGCTTCAAATATATGCCAAACGAACATTAGTCACGGTGGGGACGGCAAATGCCCCGCTAGCCCGGAAATTTTTAACATGCTGGTGGACTATCGTAATTATTGGCCTTGCTAAAGAGTATGTAAGATATATGCAAGTATACGCAGACACGAGTAATATAGGGCATATTTAAGACTCCAATATTATTCCCACACAGATCTTTTGACGAAAAAGTACAATAGAAAAATTACAATTGCTCAAAACTAAATTTCAAAAGAAATTAAAATTAAATTGGTTAAACAGACAGTAATAGAAATTAGAGGTTAATGTTAACTTTAAGGTTTCTGATTAAAAATTGAGGGTACTTGATTAATACACAAAATGGAAGGTAGAAAATAAATTGGGAAAATATTTTTGGAATTTTCTTTTTTGATTATATTTTCACAAAATTATTAAAAGTTTAAATGACCAAAGAAAAATCAGAATTGAAAGAGTTTTAATTAATTTACCCGGTAATATTTTGTCGAACCAAACAACTTTTTTTCAACTTTACCAGCAAACTCACTTTCTTACAATTTCTCCAGTAATTCTAGTTATCTAGTAAAAAAAATTCCTCCTCTACCAAACACCCCCTTAAGAACTTCAATGAGAAAGTTGGGTTGGGCTTTGGTTCACCCCTTCCTACAACATTGCACTGGATAAATTCTTTTAACGAAATGTTCAACACCTATTTTCAACTAACTGGCTTAACGTTTGATCTTTAATCCCTTAAAAGTTATTTTACCCAGAATCAGCCACAAGCATAACCCTATGCATGTGGGACCTGGGTTCTTGAAGAACATAGCCTTAGTTGCGTGGTGGATTGACTCATGTCTAAATTAAACCCTTGAATAATTCCTCATTCAAGTCCATGCGTTCTAACCATGGTCAGAAAAGAATTGTTTTCCAACAACTCAGTTCTAGAAAGCTTCTACACTCGGCCGAAATGCAAAAATTCTTCAACAAAGAAATACAAAATTTAAATAACTGAACTTAACATTCACAGTGCATGTAAAGAAAAATATCCACACAACGTTGATGGTTGGGGATCACCTAGACCCAACCTCCACTATTTAGCTCATATCCATAAGGATAGAGCTTAAATACATAAATGAAAATGCAAAGAACATAAAAATGCAAAAATATAAACTCTACAGTACGAGTACTATTCACAGAAATAGCCTCGTCATTGTGCTCATCTTACAAAACAAAACCAATTAAAACCTACTACAGTACCATAAGCTAAAATAAAACTTCTAAAAAATGGGGAAGAGATATTGCAGAAGAAGAGAGCCCCTAAATAAGCTATTCTTTCGCTATTATACTCCTTCATTTGCATGCATGGGCTTTGGGCCCTTTCACCAATAGTCTCTACACGCGCTCCTTCACTGCGAGTCACACGAGCACTCCTTGCTCCACGCTCTCCTCAAGCGCTCCACCAAAAGAAATCCCACTAGCCGATTGTAACAACTTCCAGGTCACTATTCGGTTAGGGTCAGTGTTTGCTTTTTAAGGGGCAATGGTTAGAATCAAACTTCTAGACCAATGGTCGAGTGAATCGCTACAAGGAAGGCTTTTGCGGTTAGATGGACAGTAAGAATCAAGCTGGAAGGCCGATTGGAGCGGCTTGGTGGTTTGAAGTGAGATGGGTGGTTTGAATGATGGGGGGTTAGGGTTCGCTAGCTTTAGGTTATTTTTTCCAAATGTGGTTCACGCCTTTCACATCTCTTTCTTCCAATTTTTCTTTTTGACTGTCAATTGGGCCTTTTTGATTTGAACTCCACAACCCATTTCTCTTTATTTTTTCTGCTTTGGTAAACCATTCATTTCCTTTGACTTTGTGGGTCTGAAACATAAGAAACATAGCCATTACTTTTCACTCAAATAACTTCAGCTGAATGTAATTGGGTTAGTATTATACAAAAGGTATTATTTTCTCATATTTTCATATTAGCAACCCTATGTTTTAAGTCACATTTCATGGACATATCAGTAGTCTTTCATTAAGGGGTGACACATAATTTTTTTTCTCTCTCCTCAATCTCTCTTTCACTCTCTCTCTCCTCCGCCCCACCCA